AATAAAGGCCCAGTTCTGGGCTTGGGTGTGGCAGTGTCTCCCTGGGCTCAGCTCCAGGTGCCACTGAGACCTGAGTTAGCAAGGTCTCCCCTGGCCCGGCCTGCTCTCAGCGGCCACCTGCACCCCGTGGCCTGCGGCGGCTTCATGCTTTCTTGCTTCATGCTTAGATTTGGGTTTGGGGGGAAAGGGCTTGGGGGAACCATTTGGTGCTGGGGATGAAACCACTTCCGCCCCCCCCCATCTCCTCTGCCACCCTCGGCTACCACTTCCGCCACCCCCTCCCCCACATACCTCCTCGGCTACCCTCCTGCCTTCCTCTTTGACACGCAGGGACCCTCTTGGAGAAGCCGGCCCATCCTCCGGCACAAGGTCAGCTCACTTGGGAATTCATTCCTCTTCCACACCCTGGACCCTGACACGGGCGTCTGTGGGGGATGCCGCCCTTCTCCCTTCCATCCGGAGCTGTGCCCACACCCTGCCAATCCCCCGCGCCCAGCAAACCCGGCCACCTTTGGGCCCATGCCGCCGCCTCCCCCAGCCTCCGCCAGGCCTGCCCACTGCTCCGTGCTCAGCGATGGCGAAGTTAAAATAGATTTTGGGTCCCTGCCACCTCTTTCTGCAACTCTGGTGCGCTGGTTTCTTGGACAACAATGCGGGGTTGGAAGCTTCCATCAGCCCCCTGCAATTTCCAGTAATAGGTCACTATTTATAATATATAAATAATAGAAAAACATGCTGTCGTCCCCAAAGAGCCCCCTTCTATTTTTAGGCCGTCGGGCTGGGGAGAAACCCGCGCTCGTGCTGGGGCCGGGAGGCCCTCAGCCCAGGGGGCAGGTGGACGGGGGCGGCGCTTTGCTGGAAGCTGGAGGAGCTGGGGGAGTCAGACGAGCCCCCGAGACCCTCCACTCAGATAAGCAGGAGGGCAGTTTGCCAACCCAGGGATAACCTTCGAACCCTCAGACGTCAAACGGAGAACCGGTCTCAGACGCCCCCACACTCAAGTGACCTCAGGGCAGGGCTTGTGCACCTTGGGTCTCTCCCCTCACATTATTATTGTCGTTGTGATTATTATTACTGTTATTATAATTATCATTTTATCCTGCTTTGGGGCCACATACTGGCAGTGCATCAGGCTCTCTCCTGGCTCTGTGCGAATAGGGTCTGTCTCCCTGGGAATGGCGGGAAGTGAAGTGGGGGCCAGAGCACCCCGAGGAAGGGACGAGGCTGGGGGTGGAGGGTGCCCCCTCTGCACGCCCTCACGATGCCCCTTAGACAGGAAGGTGAGCTCAGGGCACCCACAACCCGCCCGAGGGCCAGCGATGCAGGGTGAGCTCATCACTGTCCTCAGAGAAGCCGAGGGACCGGCCGCGTCCCTGGGCAGACTGGGCTGCGCTTCTCCGGTGCCTGTGAGCCTCAGTCGAGATGCGGAAGACCCACCAGGGCCAGGCTGGGGTTAAGGAAAACACTGTAGAGTCAGAGCCAAAACTGGGGTGCGGCCACCTGCGGGGTTCCCCCTCCCTGTGAAGGCATTTTACCTGTTTGGAAATGGTCTCGGGGTGAACAGTAGAGGTGGGATATTTGGAATTCCCATGTATCTCTTGGCATCAGTGACCTAAAGATTCAGGAAAAGTATCTTTAATGCTCCCAAAGCAGGGGGAGCCACGGGGAAGAGCTGCCCACACACAGAGCCAAGAGGGACAGCCGTTATATTCCTTAATAGGTGGGTTTTTTTTTTTTTTGGCCATTTGGGTCACACCTGGCAATGCACAGGGGTTACTCCTGGCTCATGCACTCAGGAATTACTCCTGGTGTGCTCGGGGATGCTGAGAATCGAACCCGGGTGCAAGGCAAACGCCCTACCTGCTGCGTTATCGCTCCATCCCCTTTTTTGGGGAGGGGGTACCTTCATCAGCAATGACCTTCCCTTTCACACTTGGGGACCCTGGGCAGAGACAGAGGCTGGGCCACTGGCCACTCAGGGGACCAGCTCTGCTCTGTCCCGAGCCCTGGGCACCAGTGTCCTTCCCCACCCAGCTGCCCTCCGAGTAGCTTGCGAGATGCATTTTGACATCCAGGGTTTTGCAAGCCTGTTGCTCTGCTGTCTTTATCTTGAAAATCTCCATGGTCCGGAGCAGCACGCAGGGGCAGAGAGGCTGCACTCCCTGGCCTTCTAGAAGCTGCCATGCGCCAGCTGCCTGGTCTGGAAGCCTGGGGAACAGGCACTGCTGGCCTGGAGGATCTGTTTGCTTTTCTGCTTTTCTTGTTTCTGTTTTTGGGTCACAGCCTGCAATGCTCGGGGGTTCCTCCTGGCTCTGCGCTCAGGAATTACTCCTGGCGGTGCTCAGGGGACCTTATGGGATGCCGGGCATGGAACCCGGGTCAGCTGTGTGCCAGGCAGGAGCCCTTCCCCACAGTGCTCTCTCCCTGGGCTGGAGTGGGTGTGCCCTGGATCTCAGCAGATGCTCAGAGTCCAATCAGGCTCGCCACGCCCTTCTCAGATCCTGCTCTCTGCTGGTGAGCACCCGCGGTCTCAGGGTTGCTGTGAAAAGCCCCTTCAGCCGGCAGAGAAGACTCAAGTGGCTGAGCACGAGCTCAGGAGCTCAGCAGAGGGAGGCCCTGAATCGGATCCTCGGCTGCCTGGCACCTCCCACTCCCCAGCGGGTGTGACCCCTCTAAAACTCCAAAGTGCTTTCTGTATGCATCTGCCCGGAGCCCTCACGGGCCAGGGGTGGGGGTGAAGCCTCAGATGCTCCTGTCCAGGGAGGGCACCTCCCCCCCCCATCCCTCTCCTCCCTGGTAATCAACTCCTCTGGGAGGAGACAGTTACCAGGCAACTGGTGACTAAGTGCTTCCCCCTTGGAGGGGGGAGCTCACCTCACTCACGGGGGGGAGGGGGGGGGTTGGGGGGTTGGGGGTGCCACCCCCCAGAGCAAGTCCACGTAGGGCCACTGGAACCCCGAGCCCCAGTGGTATTGGATGAAGATCCTGAGACTCTGGAGGTGTCCAAGTGGACAGGCTGCCCAGCACCTGCTCACTGTCCCCTGAGGGGGCAGGGCCGCCCCCATCCCCACACACTCGCAGGCTGCCCACCCTGGCCTTTGGGTGTCCCTGGGGCTTCTGTCATCACAGATTCCAGTTCAGGGACAACAGCGCCTCAGGGGGCCATTGTGTGGAACCTTCCAGATCCCCGCGGGAGTCCAGGCCAGCTTGTTGACCGTTGTCTGGAGCGGCCAGAGCAACCGCCTGGGTGTCTGCTCCCCACTTCAGAGCAGTGCCTGGGGGGTGCCCGCTCCTGCTGCACCCCACCGGCCCCCAAGGGCTGGCAGCACGGGCAGGCACACAGCACCCCCAACTGCGCTGCCCACTGAGGTGGGGCTCCCCCAACCTGCAAACAGGGATCAGCTCTCCCCAGCATCCCCCATCCATCCCGGAAGCTGGAGACAGGGGGGCTAGCCCCGCCCACTCGGGACGGGAGGGACACCCTGCTCGGTAGGTGGGACGCGGAGCAGCAGAGGTCACAGGAGCCTGAGGCGAAGGTGATGCTCTAGACCAGCTCTGCCCAGACCTCGGGCCCCCCTCACCCCACCCCCACCTCTCTAGGTCTGGGAGCAACTGTGCCCCCCCATCCCGCCCCCGGGGCGCTGGAAGGCAGTTGGAAGAACACCGTTTAGAACCTCCCCTGCAAAAGTCCTGTCAGTCAATCCTCATCTCCCTTCCAGCACCCCAGGCGCTGTCTCTTTAAGCCAGAATCTCATGTTTGCCCGCAGAGGTGGGGGTGCCCTGGGGGCTCTGCCCATCCCCCCTCCTCAAAAGTCAGTTTAGGACCCACCTTTCCGACCCTAAATCCATCCTGGCCAGCAGGCTGGCTCCCTCAGCCCCGGAGTGGGGTGTGACCTCCAGCCCCTCTGCCCACGCGCCCCTCCCCCACCCCGCCCCCGCAGGTCTCGGGTTGCAGCTGCTGCCTCGGCTGGCTGGGGGGAGGGGGGTGTGCCAGGCGGCCTCGAGGGCACTGGAGCTCGTTCTGGACGCCCCCTCAGCTAGGGCCTGGGGTCTGCAGGTGTGGGCCCCCCTCTCCAATGCCCTGGGAAGCTGCTGGCGGGGGTCACCAAGTGCTGGCTGGGAGCAGACGGACGCTGCCCCCACCGCGTGTGAGCACAGTGACCAGGTGCTGGACTCGGCCTTGGCGCTCGGACTGTCGCGAGCCCGGCGTGCATCCTTCCGATCCTGGAAAGCAGAGCGGCCCCTCGGCGTCACCCCGGCGCTCACCCGCAGCTCCCGGCAATCCCAGGTGGCCAAGACTGAACCCCCACCCCTCCGCTGGAGGAGGAGGCGGCGGAGAGGGGCCACCCACATTGCAACCTCACCCACCACGCGTCTGAGTCAGGCGGGCGGAGCTCAGGCGGCTCCCCCGAAGTTTGCGAGCCACTCCACCCCAACCGCCGCCCCCCGCCCCGGCTGCGCGGCCACGACCCCCGCTTGAGGAGCCCAGCGCCCAGGCAGCGCCCGCCTGGGGCCGGCCCCGGGCAGGTGCGGGCACCTTCTGGGGTGCCCGGAGCCGGGGCGGCGGCGTCCGTGGGCTCCGGGCTCGCGGCGCACCTGGCTCGGATTATTCTTCCCGAGGTGGCTTTGCCCCGCAGCCAATAAATGCTCGCCGTCCCGTGTCCCAGGGGAGTTTCTGTCCCTCCGGGGCCGGGGAGGGCGGAGCCCGAACCTCCCAGCACCCTAACTCACTCGCACCTGCCTCGGCTCCCCTGGTGCGGGAGGGGGCGGGGGAGGCGCGGCGGGCCCGGCCCCAGCCGCGGGGCCAGGGCCCCGGGCGGCGGGCCGGGGCTCCCCCCGCCCTGCTCCCCACGCCCGCCCGCGTCCCCGGCCGGCCCGGGCGGGGCGCTGCCCCCAGCCCACCCCTCGCCCCCGCCGCGCGCGAAGCCGGCGCGCGCTAGGACCGCGCGGCGCCGCCCGCTGCGGCTTTAAGAGGCCGCGCTCGCGCCCCACGCGGAACCCGCGGCTCCGACCGGTCCCCGCGGCCCCGACCCGTTCGGACCCGCGGCGGGACCGGCCACTGCGCAACGGACGCCAGCCCGGGGCCTGCGAGCGCCGCGCGCCCCGGGCCTCCCCGCGGCCCCCGCGGCCGCCGCGGGCACCATGGGCGCTGCCCACTCGGCGTCCGAGGAGGTGCGGGAGCTCGTGGGCAAGACGGGCTGTGAGTATCCGCGGGGCCGCGCGGGACGCCGGGCAGCCGCGGTGACCTTGGCCCGGCCGCCTCAGTGTCCCGCTCCTGAGAATGGGTCCTCGCCGCGCTCGCGGGGCGAGAGCGCGCGCACCCGGCCGGACCGGACCCGACCGGGACCGGACCGGACCGGACGGGGCGGGACACCCCTCGCCCCGCGCCCCGCACCTGCACCGCGCGCCTTGGATCCCTCGCCGCGCGCCCCGGACCTCGGACCCCGCGCCTCGGACCCCGCGCTCTGCGCCCCGGACCCCGCGCCCCGGACCCCGCGCCCCGCGCCCCGGACCCCGCGCCGAGACCCCGACCCCGCGCCCCGCGGGCCACCGCAGAGCCGGGGCGGGGCCGGGGGACCGGGCCCCGCTGCGCTCCCGGGCGGGACGCGCGTCCCTGGCCGGCCCGAGCGCAGCCCCCGAGCGCGCGCGCGTCCCGCACCCCGAGCGGCCGCGCCTGGACGCGGCGCCCCGAGCACTGCGGGGGCGCGAAGTTTCGAAGTCGGCGGGACCCGGGCGCCGGCCACCCGCGCCCTGAGCCCTGGGGCCGCGGGCTGCCCCGGGCCGCGTCCGGGCGCCGCGCCGGAGCCCCGCGACCTTCCCCGCAGAGCCCGCGCGCCCCGCGTTGGTCCCCGGGAGGCCCCGCGGCCGGGCGCGCCCCGAGCGAGCGCAGGGAAGTGAGGCCAACCCCAACGGGAACTTGACCCTGAGCCCTGACCCGGGCCGGGCGGGGTTGGCCTGCAGAATGGGGGGTGAGGGGGGTGGACTGCGGAGGCCGGGGAGCGGGGGTGGCCAACTGGCTCTGGTTCTGGACCTGGTTCCGATGGGAAGCTGCCCGCAGCGCTGGGCGCCTGTGTGACCTTGGGCTGGTCACTTTCCCTCTCTGAGCTGCTGGAGGAATAGGAGCTGCTGAGCCTTCTTGGACGGAGCTGACTCTGAAGTCGGCTTGGAAGCTAGTGCAGATCCCCACCCACCCCCAGGCCCATCTGTACGGCACAGGGGGCGAGCGGGGTGGCAGAGGACCCCCTCCCCGTCCCAGACAGTCCCGGAGGGACAGGCCTCCCTCCTGGAGAATGGCGAGAAAATGATAGCCAGCCCTTAACAAGGGCGTGCATGTTCTCCCGTGTTTATCTTTCTAGCTTCAGGAAGCGAAAGGGCCCTCTGAGCTCGGGAGAGTGTATTGTGGGGGGGGGGGGGACTTCTGGTTAGAGAAGGTGGAGGAGGCGAAGGCTGGGTCTGTCATTGCTGCATCTGCCTCAAGGACTCTGGGAGTGTCGAGGAACAAGAGTAATGAGTACTTGGTGGAAGCTCTCTCTCTCTCTCTCTCTCTCTCTCTGGGAGCCACACCCAGCCGAGCTCAGGGATCACTCCTGGTGGGACTCGGGGGACCAAACGGGGTGCCCGGGATTGAACCTGGGTTGGCCGCATGCAAGGCAAGCGCCCTCCCCACTGTTCTGTCTTACACTGTCGATTTTTCACTTTTGTCATTATTAACCAAGGGTGACTGTTTCAGCCCACGCAGAAAGACTGATGAAGTCTAAGTCTAATCCCTGGGCTATAACCGAAAGAGCTCGTGATTTGCCTTTTTTCTTGGGTCTCCCCTCCTCGTAATTATTATTATTATTATTTTGGGTTGGGGCCACATACTGGCAGTGCGCCAAGCTTTCGCCTGGCTCTGTGCTCAGGGATCACCCATGCTTCCGGGGACCATATGTGGTGCCGGGAATTGAACCTAGGATGATCATGTGCAAGTACTATACTACCTCGCCGCACTATTTGCTCCAGCCCCCTTTCAGGATTATTTATTTATTTTGCTTTTTGGGTCACACCCGGCGATGCACAGGGTTACTTCTGACTCATGCACTCCGGAATTACTGCTGGCGGTGCTCGGTGATATGGGATGCTGGGAATCAAACCCGGGCTGGCTGCGTGCAAGGCAAACGCCCTCCCTGCTGTGCTATCGCTCCAGCCCTTCAGGATTTTTTAAACAGCTCTGTTGGTGGGAGGGGAGGAGAGGGAGTTCCCCAGCCATCCTGAAGTTTCGGCTCCAGGGGAGGACGGTGCATGCATCGAGGGAGGGGTAGTCAGTGTGAGATTTTATTCCTCAGCCCCTCTCCTGGCTGGAATCTCTGCACATTTTAGCCGGGGTGCTCTCGCGGGGTGCTCCCACCCTCTCTGAAGTTTGTGCTTCTTTAGTTGTGCTTACACAGGTACTCGCCAGGGGGCGCACTTCCCGGTCCTGGTGCTCACACATCCTTTGAGCTGTGTTGCTGGGGTGGGGTGGGGTGTTGCACCCTTTTTGAGGTGCTCGCACAAGCCTGGCTGGGGTGCAGCCAGAGCTCACTGGCAATGCCAGGGTTCACAGAGCTTCCAGGACATGGTCAGTGCATGTGTGCGTGTAGGACTCTGGGGACGGATCACGTGGCCTCAGGTATGTGCAAACACCCTGAACTCCTTCCTCAGAGGGCCTTGAAGATATTTCTTAAGGGTGGACCAGGTGGCCGTCTCTGAAGAGGTCGGACTGGGACAGCCAGCTTCAGGAAGATGGGTGAGCCTGGTGGGTGGGGGTGGGGGAGGCGAGCTTGTGCAAAGGACCTGGGGCAGGTGGAAGTGGAGGACAACATGCAAAGATCATGGAGTTGATGGTCCACCTGGTGAAGGTGGGAGTCTTAGGGCCCCTTGCCATGGACATCACCTCGGACAAATCATTGCGGCCCATGTGCCTCAGTCTCCCTGCAGTAAGAATGAGGGTAGCTGTTCTCCCTTTCTGGTTTGGGGGAGGATTCCACGAGTGAGTGATAAGCCTCAGGTGTTTAGAACAAGTGCAAATGGGCATCGGGGAGGGTTGGCCGCACTTTAACCGTGTGTGTGTGTGTGTGTGTGTGTGTGTGTGTGTGTGTGAGAGAGAGAGAGAGAGAGAGAGAGATCCCCTTCAGCCTCTGCTGAACTGGGGTCATGCCTTGCGGTGCTCAGGGACTGTTCCTGGCATTGTGCTCAGGAGTGAGCCCTGGCACTGATGGGGGGGCCCAGATGCGGCACCAGAGCATCGAGGAGCCCGGCCTGGCTGCATGCAGGGCGAGCGCCTTCACCCCTGTCCTGTCCCTCCCCATCCCGAGGCATCTCCTAGACCCACGTCTTCTGCGCCGTGTGGCTTCAGGTGTGCTGCGTGACCCCTCTGGATCCTGGTGTGGGCGGTGGTAGGGGGTACCAGGATGAGGGGGTGCATAGCTGAGGTGCTGGACCCCATGAAGGGCCGCTGGGATGGAGCCCAGGCTGTGCCCCCAGGGCCCTCCGTGAAGCTCCCTGGGAAGGAGCGGGCGCCGACCCCCCTGAGAGCTTTGCTGTGCCAGGATGAGGTGGTTCCCCTTGGGGTGTGAGGGGCGCTGTGAGGCCCAGCCCCCGGCCTGCAGCCCTGCGCTCAGGTCCCGAGACGGAGAGTCGGGGGTGGCCGGGGGCCCTGCTTTCCCGTCTCAGCTGCACCGGGGCGAGGGGTGCCTGGTCTTGGCTTCTCTGGGGTGCTTCCCGCGACAGGGGGTTCTCTCTCCTCAGTCTGCATGTGGGTTGCAGGTATCCTGCCCCGGGAACGGCCTCTGGTGCTTGCCCGGCTCCCCAGCACCGTCTCTGTCCTTCGGGGCCACCCTGGCTGCTCCCTGTCCAGCAGCAAGCGACCCCTGTCCTCCGTCTCCACGTGTCCCCTCCAACCTGGGCGCTCCCGAGGTGGGAGAAGCCACCTCTGTAGCAGCACACGTGTGGTCCTCTGTCCTGCGGAAGGGGGGACACCCCATCCTGCCGTCCGGGGGTCCCCTGGCAGAGTGAGACTGGCCACACCAGCCGGCTTCTGCCCCCGCCCCCGGCCCTGCCAGAGTGCCTGGCCCAGCCCTTGCCTTGCCGGGTGGGCCCAAGCAGGCCCGCCAGCGCCAGGCTGAACCCGGCACCCCCGCAGGCCCGGGGCTGCTCGCCCACCACCGGTCTTGGCCCCTCCTGGGCCGGTCTCGCTGGCAGCAGGACGGTCTGCGTGGGCCAGTTCTCCCTCCGGGTGGGCAGGGAGCCAGCACCCCCCCACACACAGGCACCCTGAGGTGCCCTCTACACTTCCTGGCCTCGGGCGGGGGAGGAAGTCCCTGCGGGGGATTCTGGGAAGGGGGACGCAGCTTCTCCTCAGGCTCCGGATCAGCCCCCCCCCCCCCCCCCCCGGGGGTGTGCAGACTCCAAGAAGCTGCCAGGAGGAAGGAGGAGGAAAAACAAGCTCCAGATTGCGAGTTCAGACCTCGTTAGGGAAATAGCTGCTGGTGGCAGGGCCTGCCGGCCTCCCTTTGGGCTCCCCGCGAGCACTGGGCACCTCCCGGCCGATGGCAGAGAACACTGGGGCTCCTGTCCAAGGTGACTGGGAAATGGAGTTGGGTTGACCCCCAACCCCCCACTCAGCCTCATTACTGGGGTACTGGTGGTTGGGGGCCACTTGGTTCCCAGGAGGCTGACCCTGGCCACTCTCTGGACTGCGCCGTCTTTAAGCAGCATCACAGCTGGGCCTGTTCCCTTCTGCAGAGCTGGGCGAGACCTGGAGGTCCCCATCTTTTCTGCTGCAGAACTTTCTGTATCTGTGTGTCTGAGAGTCTCTGTGTGTGTCTGAATGTGTGTTTCTGAATGTGGGCATATATCTGTGTGTCTGTGTGTGTGTCTGTGTGTATCTGTATGTCTGGTCTGTGAGTGTGTGTGTCTGTGAATGTATATCTGCATGTGCAAGTGTGTATGTGTGTGTGTATCTGTGAATGTGTCTGTGTGTGAGTGTATAGCTCTGTGCGAATCTATATCTGGGTGAGTGTGTCTGTGTGTGTGTGTGTCTGTGTGTGTGTGTGTCTGTGTGTCTGTGAGTGTGCCTGCATGTGGGACTGTGTGTGTCTATGAGTGTGAGTATATATCTGTGTGTGAATGTGTCTGTGTGTGAGTGTATGCGTGTGTATCTGTGTCTGTGGGAGTGTATAT